ATAACACGAATACATCAACAAGTAAAAGAAAAAAGAAAACAGTATATCCAAGCCTCTAGATGGCAGTGCTACTTATTTTTCTTCACTTTCACTTCCCCCTCATGTATCCAAAACCAGGAACAGAAGAAAAAAAAAGTAAAATCTTCTCTTTTTAAAAAAAAGAAAGAAAAAGAAATAAATCTCAAATCAGAAAGACGAGTCTTAATCAAAGTAGACTTTCAAGAGAATTGTTTAAAAAAAATAATAGGAAATTTAAAAAGACCAGTCCAGTTTAAAATTAAGAAGCCTTGCCAAATTCCAAGTTCCAGTAAAAAGGGAAAAAAATAAACTTTCAATTTCACTAGCTTAATCTCGCTGCTTAAGCTCTTTTCTCTTCACTTTTAATTCCACTTTAAGTCTTTCAGGGTGTTCTCTCCAAAAAACAATAAGTAAAAGTTTATCTCACCAAACTGACACACTTTCTTCCAATCTCTTCCATTCCGGAGCTGTCCCAGCTTCAGCAGCTTGAATGGCTGCCTCTCCGCTGCCGGCAAAAAGGGCTTTTCCTGGATTGACCAGGGACTTTGTGATGTCCTTGGAATCAGAAGGACGTGCCCTTATCAATCACCGTCTCTACGGGATGGTTTAGGTCCGTTGGGACCATCCAGCAGCAGAGATATTGACAGGAATCTTGGAGGATCAAGATTGTGCGTCATACCGCCACGATGCCAGCTCCGCCCTCCTCTTTCTCTTGCTTTTTCTCAGAATCCTGTTTTCAGAGTCACCTGGAATTAGTGGAAAACCTTTACTTCAGTACTTTTCTATGGTGGTTGCCATAAATCTCTCTATCCTTCATGAATTTCCCTGTACAAGTAGTCTGTGATGACCCGGGGCGTGGCACAAAGGCAACTCAGTCAGATAAGTAAGAAGAGTCCCTTTAGTACCTCCAACTTTGCCCCCAATGTTCAGGTTACCTTCGACTGGAGAAAAAACTCTCCTAAGAACAGTCTTTAAGTGGAGGAAATTCAGTCCGAAAACAAAATACACACAAACTGTATATAAAAATCTACACAAACCATGCTGCAGTAATTAACTTAACAGGGTAGGAGAAGGAATTGCACACTTCAAAGGCCAACAAAACACACACAGTTGGGAATATGCCAGGAACACCGATAAGCCACGACCATAACAGATAACTCATGATTTGCTCCCAACAACTTTTCTGTGCGCAGCTTCCCTTTTTAAATACTGTATTCCCAGCTGCAGCTAATGAAGGGAATCAGGGCCCTTTCCTCCCCCATAAGCCACGCAACCCTTGTTGCTCCCTTCCCTGCATGCCATAGGATGAAGAGGGATGGGCCTGGATCTTCCTCCAAATTCCCTCTGCCTTGCTCTACCTCTCCCCTGCTCTACCTAGCCAGACTTTGCCCTTCCCCAGTTTCTTCCACAGCCAACAGAGCCACACTCCCATTCCCTGTCAGCTGCTCGGCCTCCCCCTCCGAATCAAATTCCGACAGGGGCATGACATAGTCATTGACTTACAACTATAATTGAACTCAACATTGTTGTTGCTAAGCGAGACATTTGTTAAGTTTATTCTGCCCCATTTTACAACCTTTCTTACCACAGTTGTTAAGTGAATCACTGCAGTAGTTAAATAAGTAGCACGGTTGTTAAGTGAATCTGGATTTCTCATTGACTTTGCTTGTCAGAAGGTTGCAAAAGGTGATCACATGACCCTGGGACACTGCAACCATCATAAATATGAACCAGTTGCCAAGCATCCAAATTTTGATCACGTGACCCTGGGGATGCTGAAATGGTCGTAAGTGTAAAAAATGGTCATAAGTCCCTTTTTCTAGTGCAATTGAAACTTTGACCAGAGCTCCCTTGGTCTATCATTTCCATCACTTCCCCATTTTAGTCTATGTTTAAATCCAAGAAAGCTAGACTGTTTATTTTCCTAAGGTCAAGTCAACTCTGAAATTCACAAGGGTGCTGATTGACATTACCTGTATCTTCTTAACTTTTAACGTTAAAAGTTTTAATATTAAAAATTAAACTTTTAATAAACTTTAAATATTTTTTTTAAAAGCAAACTTTTTCATGACGAAGCCTTTTGTTGCTTTCAGCGAATGGAGTGATGTTGACTAATATATAATCATCCCACTTACAAGAAGGCAAAGCAATGGTGCAAGACCAGGTATAAGACCCATGCAGCAGCTATGGGGGCAGAGGTGGTATTCAGCAGGTTCTGGAGAACCAGTAGCGGAAATTTTAAGTAGTTCGGAGAACCGGCAAATCCTTGACTGGAGATTTTACAGTCTCCTTCCCCTGCCATGCCTACCAAGCCATGCCCATAGAACCGGTAGTAAAAAAATTTGAATCCCACCACTGCTACCGGGTGTATCTTCTTAACTTTTAATATGCAAAGTTAATTTTTAATATTAAAACTTAATATTAAACTTAATAGAACAGACAAACAGAATGACAGAGTCGGGAGGGACCTTGGAGATCTTCTAGTCCAACCCCCCTACTCAGGTACCGTAGGATTGATCGTCCAATCTCTTCTATAAAACGTCCAGTGTTGGGACGTTCACCATTTCTGGAGGCAAACTGTTCCACTGATTGTTTTCACTGTCAGGAAAATTCTCCTTAGTTCTAGGTTGCTTCAATATTAAACTTTAAATATTAATTTAAAAAAGCACAACTTTTTTTTTCTTAAAGTTTCATGATGATACTTCCTACATTTTTGTTGCTTTCAGTGAGAGGAGTGATATTGACTAATATGTAATCATCCCACCCACAAGAGAACAAAGCAATGGTGCAAGACCTGGTATAATACCAATGCAGCAACTACGGGTGTTAGGCAAAAGTTCGGGCACTGGGATTGGCATTACAGGTTTAAGGTGAAGGCTGTTGAATATACCATTTGGTATGTGAGTTCTGGTCCCACCTTAGGCAATGAAAGCCAGCTGGGTGACTTTGGGCCAATCCCTCTCTCTCTCTGCCCAACCCTCCACATGAGACTTTCATGACAAGCAACGTTATTGTTATTGTTGTGGGGAAACTAGCAGGAGGAAGGATTATTAGGTATGTCCACCACCTTGAATTACTTATAGGCAAGGCAAAAAATAAATAAATCCGTGGCACGAACCAGTTAAGAGAAATAATCAGAATAAATTAAAATAGGGGAAAGACTGTTGCTGTGAGGAACTAAAAACTATTTTCAAGTGAAGGGTGAAAAATACCGGTAGTTCTCGACTTACGACCACATTAGAGCCCCATCTTTTTGTTGCTAAGTGAGATAAGTGTTCAGTGAAATTTGCCTCATTTTATGGCCATTCCTGCCTGCCACGGTTGTTAAGTGAATCTGGCTTCTCCATTGACCTTGCTTGTCAGAAGGTCACATGACCCCAGGCCACTGCAACCGTCATAAATATGAGTCGGTTACCAAGTGTCTGGATTTGGATCACGTGACCATGGGGATGGGTACAACGGTCATTAAGTGTGAAAAATGGTCCTAAGTCACTTTTTTCAGTGCCGGTGAAAAGTTGGAACGGCCACTAAATGAACCGTTGTAAGTTGAGGACTACCTGCAACAGAGTTGGGCCTTGGAGGCCTTCTAGTCTAACCCCTTTTCAAACACCAATCCAGATCCAAAAAAGTCAAGAATTATGGCAGAAATGCTTTTGAGGGAGATGCCAAACGTTCTTTAGGAAACACTCAAAAACTCAAAATTCGCATTACCGAGCAAGCAACTATCTTCAGAAAGCCCACCTCTCTCCTCCCCATGCCTTAATCACCACAGACCCTATTATTGTTGTTGTTGTAATTTAACTACAGTATACACAGCAAACAAGATAACCAATGTGGGTTTTGTATCACAAACCACGTCGAATACTTCCCAAGTGTTTAGGACTGCGTGATGTATCGGCGGATTATGACAGCAGATCCCAGTAAGGTGGCCTTCTGCAACTGACCAATGGTGATTTTGTCAGCGCCAATTGTTTTCAAGTGCTTGCCTAGGTCTGTAGGCACAGCAGCACCCAATGTGCCCAGTACCACTGGAACCACCTGCACTGGTTTATCCCAGAGTCTCTGCAGTTCGATTCTCAAGTCCTGATACCTGGTGACTTTTTCAAGTTGTTTCTCATTGATTCTGCTGTCACCAGGTATGGCAATGTCAATGATCCACACTTTTTTCTTCTCCACAATCGTGCTATCCAGGGTATTGCGTTCCAAAACTTTGTCAGTCTTTGTCACCCCATGGGGTGCCGCCTTGACATGGCGGGGGGGCTTAACTTCTCCAATGAAGCTGAGACCTGTGCTGGCGGTAGTGTAAACTACCAGCAGGTCAAACCATGCCAGAGAGGTCTTGGCCGAGGAGCAGGACTGAGTGCACCCAACAACCCATGCAATGAATCATGGTGAAACACAACCAAATGAAGCCTATAGTGACTCGGTCGTCACCCGGGTTAACAAGGACCGCTTCGGGTGTTGGGGAACCTGGGCATCTGTCGACAAGTGGGCTACAGGCCATGGGTCCCATAGTTGAGCAACCAGGGCATGGGTCTGCAGGGCTACGGGAAGCTGAACAACCTAAGAAGCGGCAGAAATACACTCTGTCAGAGAATTGCACTGTAATGAAATACAAAGCTGAACCAGAAAAATGAGACTATCAAAAAAGGATATGATGATGATGATGATGATGATGATGATGATGATGATGACGACAACTATGTATACACTTATATTATCTTGTAAACAATTGGCAAATCAAATAAATAAATAAATAAATAAA